CTCCTCTCCTCTCCTCTCCTCTCCTCTCCTCTCCTCTCTTCTCCCCTTCCCTCCTCTCCTCTCCTCTCCTTTCTTCCTCTCCTCTCCTCTCCTCTCCTCTCCTTTCTTCCTCTCCTCTCCTCTCCATTCTGGACTCAATAGTGTCTCACCAATAGTATTTGACTGTCCTTCCTTCAACAATTTGGCGATTCCCAGGGCCAGTAGAAATTCTGGTTCCTCGTTGCGGTCATAAGTCAAGGACTGCTTGTAGTGAAAAAATCACCCGTTCTTTCCCATTCTTCATTCCTGAGCTGATTCCCAAGCTGTAAACTCTGTCAACCTCTTTATCTGATGTCTGCAAATGTTCCCTCGGAGCTCTTCCTTTGGGACTTTGTCCAACCCACACCGAGGAGTTATTTCCATCCATTTTCATTTTGATACGCGCGCAGATAACCTCAACTGCCAATGATATCCATCGTCTGTCTTGGCTGTGTTCGCACAGCCAAAGGACCAGAGACCACACCAAGATGCATCGCTTCTCCGATTAAGTTTGGTGCCAGATCAAATCATTCACAGCCTTCCAGATGGTGGTTAAGTCTGGAGCCATGCAGTTTTCATAATCCTAAAGCTACGCCGTTGCTGAAAAAGCCAAGTTTTGCCCCAGTTCCACCCCTTGGCAAGGGTACAAAAAAATTAATTCCTTCCTGAGACACAGATACTTTTTTTTTTCATTTTTAAGACAGACAGGTTAATCTTCCCCCTTCCATTCCCATCTAGAGAAATGCCCAGAAGGAGACTTAAAGAGACTACTGTATTTCAAAGCTCTTTCTTTAAAAAAAAGAAAAAGAAAAAGAAAAGAAAGGAAAAAAAACCCAAGCGAAATAATGTAATTCATTGCACGTTGCCTCAGATAAAATCGCGGCAATCATGAACAATTGCAGTTGGGATTCCCTTAATACCTTCTGCAGGGCTGTCTCTAAACATCAGGACTGTGGTGTATGTGTGTTGTTTTTCTTGAAAGAGAGATGTTTCTTTAGCATGATGCAACATGGAGAGATTTTT